ACTCTAATCATGCTGGTGAGCAAAAACACCGTAGCCGCTAGGGTGTAGGTTTCTTACAGTCCGATCAATTTTACTCAACGTTCGTTTCTGCAACCCTTACTTCTAGATCTTAACGTGAGAAAGGGTCGGGCACAGAGAATGTTTGCCGGTAGATATACTCTTTAATGCGTTCCGACTCTTTCCATAGTTAAGGCTAAAATGCTCGGGGTGCGGGCAAAAAACTCTGATCACGCTGGTGAGCAAAATGCCGTAGCCACTGGGACGTAGGTTTCTTACGGTCCGACCATTTTTACTCAGCGTTTGTTTCCGCAACCTTTACTTCTAGATCTTAACGTGAAAAAGGTCGAGCATAGAGAATGTCTACCGGATAGATATACTCTTTAATGCGTTTCGACCCTTTTCGTAATTAAAGCTAAAAAGCTCGGGATGCGGGCAAAAAACTCTGATCACGCTGGTGAGCAAAAACACCGTAGCCGCTGGGGCATAGGTTTTTTGTGGTCCGACCAGTTTTATTCAGCGTTTGTTTCCGCAACCCTTACTTCTAGATCTTAACGTGAGAAAGGATCGGGCATAGAGAATGTCTACCGGATAGATATACTCTTTAATGCGTTTTAACTCTTTTCGTAGTTAAGGCTAAAAAGCTCGGGGTGTGGACAAAAAACTCTGATCATGCTGGTGAGTAAAAACGCCGTAGCCGCTGGGGCGTAGGTTTCTTGTGGTCCGACCAGTTTTACTCAGCGTTTGTTTCTACAACCCTTGCTTCTAGATCTTAAAGTGAGAAAGGGTCAAGCATAGAGAATGTCTACCGGATAGATTTACTCTTATCAGCCCTGTGTGAGGCCCGACCCCTTGCCGTTGCTGGGGTTGAGTGTCACTAAAGATCGAGGAGTCAATTAGCGAAACCGATAAAAAAAGGGTGCGTAGATTAAGGGTAAAAGCGACGTAGCTATTCGATGTTCTAGGCGTTGATGAAGACTTCGCCGTCGATAGTCTTGAGCTTATTGGTGCCTGGTCAGAGCACCTCCACGACGACGTATGGTCCCTCCTATGGCGGAGAGAGTTTATGGTGGTTCTTGTTGCTCTGGATGAGGCGGAGCACCAGGTCCCCGACGTTGAAGGCCCGACCCCGCACACGACGGTTGTGGTACCGGCGCAATGCTTGCTGGTACTTGGCCGAAGCGGAGGAGGGCAACATCGCATCCTTCATCTAACTAGCCACGAGCGAGCCCTCGCGCTGCTGCTTGCGGTCGACAGTGGCCACGAGCGAGCTCTCGCGCTGCTGCTTGTTCTTCTTCTTGTTGGGGCGGTTGGAGGCGCCTTCGCCGGCGTCCTCGTCCCGCTTTGTCTTGCCCTTGGGGCGGTTGAAAATCGCCCTGACCGCCTCCTCGCCCGAGGCATGGCAGGTGGCGATGTCGAGGAGCTCCTTGGTGGTTCATGGGCCCTTACATCCCAGCTTGTGAACCAGGGACTCGCAGGTGGTCCTAGACAGGAAAGCTCCTATGATGTCGACGTCGGTGACATCGGGTAGCTCGTTGCACTGCCGGGAGAAGCACCGGATGTACCAACAAAGAGTTTTCCCAGACTTCTATCGGTAGTTTTTGCATCCCATGGGTTCCCAGGACGCGCGTATGTGCCCTAAAAGTTTGCCACAAGATTTCTTTTAGGTCCGCCCAACTTTGGATTCGGTTGGGCGGAAGGTGTTCCAACCACGTTCGCGCCGAATCGGTCAGGAACAGTGGAAGGTTGCGGATAATGAAATTGTCACTATCCGCTCCACCGGCTCGGCAAGCAAGCTGATAATCCTCGAGCCACAGTCCGGGGTTTGTTTCCTCGGAGTATTTCGGGATGTTGGTCGACGGTCAGTACCGCAGTGGGAAGACGACGTTGAGGATGTGTCGGCCAAAGGACTAAGGTCTCGGCAAGTCAAGGCTTGGGCTTCGGTCCTTACCACTATCGTAGCGTCTGCCACGACGAGGGTGGTAGCCACGGCTAGCCTCCTCCCTCTCATTGCTACGAGCACACCTGCGGGCATCGAGGGTGTTGCGCGCATCACGGTGGAGGCTGAGACGCTCATGCACCAAGCCGCAGCGCGCGGCCTACCACCTCACTGTGCCTAGTGGATTGACACGTCCCTGTCAGGTCGCTCTGAGGGCGCGCGCTGGCTGGTGTCGAGCTCGCGTCATCGGGACAGCGAGCTCTCGGCCTACTGCGCCGCCGCACGCTCGAGTAGCGTGCGAATCAAACGATGGGCCCGATGATCCTCGGGTGTGGCAGGCTCCGAAAGCCCCCGGAGCAAGGCCGCCATGGCAGTGATGTTCTAGCTTGCCCGGGTGAAGTGTGGGAGGGCTTTGTCGTCCTCGATGATCCTCCGGTTCACGTCGCAGGCCACGGCGCGCCCACACCCACCGTCTCTGTGGCGCTCAAGCTCCGCGCATTCCTACTCGAGCAGGAGTCATGCTTCTTCGAGCTCTTGGTGCCGCGCCCTCAGCTGCTCTACCACAGATGAGGTGGGGCCCCTTCATCCTCCTCGACCTCATCGTTGAGGTCATCTATTGGGGTAGCCCCTCCCTTATGGATGCTTTCGATGTATCCCTCGGGGGTACCTGCCATGAAAGATTCTCGCGAGGGGTGGTGGCTCCCCCTGCTTGAGTCAGAGTCGGAGGGCGACTCCGATTCTCCCACGAGAAGGTCGTGGAAAGATTCGACGACGTATTCGGTCATCCCCATGAACTCATCGTTTGTAGGGGATGGGGGCGTGCGCTGCGCCACAAGGTGGCCAACGGTCTCTGCGACGTTGCGCAGACCGAACGGGAGCGCTGTCAGGGTGCTCCGAATGAGATATTCCGAGGAGAGCGGCTCTCCTCCGGCAAGCTGCGTCATGACGTTGGCGAACGAGAAGGTGAGGCGGCGCAGGTCCTCCCGGGACGGTCGGGGTCCTAGGAAGGCGCTGAGCTGGCGCTCTAGTCGCTCTTGGGGGCGCGGGTCTCCGGTGTGTGCAGTTGTAGCTCCTCAAGCGCCTCGGCGATGGCGTCGAGGCCGGCGGAGTGGAGAGGCTGGATGGCGGTGGGAACATGCGCCAACTCTCCCTCCATCGTAACGATGAAGTCCAGGTTTCTAAAGCGCACGTGCGTTCCGGGACCCAGCTGACGCCGTGATTAGCCATCCGAGGCCTGATGTGGATGTCGAGACCCTCAAAAAGTCCCTACCTGGCACACCAACTGTCGGTGTTTTTGGACCACCGACGAGTAAATTTGTATTTGCGCGTCTGGCTCGGATGGTGTGCTCGAAAGACACAAGGGTTTATAACGGTTTGGGCGGAATGTCCCTATGTCCAGTTCACTGCTGCTCGTGTTACCGGCACTTGGTTTATAGTAGGGGTTACAAACAGAGGAGAGAGGGAGAGGATCTTAAGTCTCTGGTGGAAGGAGTGAACAGGTGCTGAGACCTCACTTGCCGCTCAGCCGTGTGCTCATGTCGTGCTCTTGTGTCTAGATCCCCCTTTCATGGGGCGCCCTCCTTCCCCTTTTATAGGCGAACGGAAAGCGCGGGTTACAGAGGAGGAAAAGGAGAAGAACGAGAGAGAGAAGAAGGCTTCCAGGGTTGCCGGGTCCTTCTTCTCCTTCATGCGGGTCCCATCGATCCTGTAGATGTCAACAGAGATGGCTCCATGTCGCGTCCCTGTTCATCACGGTCGCCATGCGCAGGCGTCATCTGCCAGTCATGGCGTTCCACTCCATCCTGGCGGACATCATGGTGAACTGATGCGCCTGTCAGCGTCCATACGAGGATTAGACAGAATAGCACCGACACGTCCGACATTGTTCTTGATATAAATCCCCAGGTATGGCCCATCATGGCCACGGGTTATATCGAGGCGTGACAGCCTTTTCCCTGGCGTCCGATTTTTGACCCAGGCCCATACGCTTGGACCTAGAGTGGTTGGCGGCGGTATGGGTCTCCGTTGGACGAGACGGAACCCGAGTCCTTAAGGTCGAGCGAGACGAAGCCCACGACCTTGGGCGAGACGGAAACCGCGCCCTTGGGGTCGGACGAGACGGAGCCTGCACCCAAGGGGTCGTGTGAGACGGAGCCCGCGGCCTCGAGGTCGGGCAAGACGGAGCCCGCGGCCTCGAGGTCGGGCGAGACGGAGCCCACGGCCTTGGGAGAGACAGAACCCGCGTCATTGGGGTCGGCTGAGACGAAGCCCGCACCCAAGGGGTCGGGCGAGATGGAGCCCGCGGCCTTAGGGTCAATCGAGACCTTTTAATGCGTCTCGAGCCATCCGGGGAAGTCAGCATGGGCGCTAAATTCTTTGCTTTGGGTATACCTAATATCGATACCCGACAGGACGACTATTAGCAGTTGTATCCCTCTCTTTGATGCCTCTTCCATTGCAGTCGCATAGCAATACCAGTTCTGTAATTTGATCATACATAGTAAATCAATAAAAAATGATGCATGCTAAACATACTGGGCCAGCTGGCCCAGTATATATGACAATTTTATTTTGTGTGAGGGTTTTATGAGCCATATTTATGTATGGCATAACATGTCCCACTTTATTTTCCACGCTGATTTTTTGGATGCTCATAATAAATAATGTACTATGTTTAAGTATTTATGATGATAAATTTGTCACTTTTTGATGTTTGTTATAAAAAAATGATTTAATGACGCAAAATATGGAGTTGATAATAAGATAACAACCATCACTATATGAGAAAAATATATAAATGATGTCCACATATATGATGGGTCCTAACATGATCCATCACTTATGTGGTCTTCAGATCATGGCCTGACAATAATCCATCATTAACAAGTTGTCATTGGTCACTATCTTTGACTTACAAATGACATTTCTTGTGTGCCAATAGATGGACGGATGCTATATTAACGTGGCACTAGGTATAGATAGTAGAAGTAGTGGACCTGTGTTTGCTTGCAGAAGTCAAAGGTCACTCCAACAACTCTCGTCCACGGTCCGATCAGGGTTCCTGTTAGGGTTCATATGGACAGCACCGTAAGACGATGTGAACCCGCATGTCTGCTGCAGCGTTCATAACGTTCTTTGTTCCCTCAATAGCAACCGGCACAAGGTCCTGCATCATTGCATTGTGCATATATATATGTGACGCTTGAATTCGAATATATATGTAAATCAATGGAAAAAGTAAGCCTAAGATAGGAGGAGGTAGACGACTACTGACAGGATCATTGGATATCGGGGAGGCAACATGGAAGACACCATCACATAAGCTGAAGGCACGACGAAGTGACATGTAGTCCAGCACATCCGCATGGTACAGAGATAGCCGTTCCTGAGCTCCATCCAGTGCCAGCAGATGCGAATTCTTGGAGTCCTCTGGCATGCATGCACCATAACAAGAAATTGAAACTATACTCAAACAATTTGCTGGAACGAATAAACACACCATGATAAGATAATACTGAATAGCTAGCGTACGTGCTGCTCACTCACCAGGGTCCCTGGCGGTGCCCCTCACAGCATAGCCGCGTTGGAGCAGCTCCTTGACCAGCCATGACCCGATGAAGCCTCCAGCTCCGGTCACGCACACCAGCTGCTCAGCAGCTGCCCCGGCCATCGGTTGATGCTGTGAATACTGGCGCTAGCTCCTCTGCCCTATCGATCTCTATCTCTTGCGAGGCTAAACTATGGCCCTGTTTATTTCCTTTGGCAAAATTTTTGCCCAGCACTTTTAGCCCATGTTTTGAGCAAATGGATCTAAACACCTGAGCTAAAAGTGAGCAAAAGAGAAGGGCTAAAGTTTACTCCATTTGCACCTCAAGAGGCGCAAAACTAGACTAAAGTGCCTTAGGGATGTCAAGGACACCTCATACCCCCACCGACCCACCCACCCGCGCCCGTCCCACCCCCGACGCTGTCGTTCGACCGCACGGCTCTCGTAGCGCGGCTCCTTCCCCGCGAGCTCCGGTCTGACTGCGAGCACCGCCCCGGCCTTCACGAGCGCCGCCCCGACCACGACCCCCTGCGCGAGCACTGACCCAGCCACGTGCGCGAAGCCGGCCGTGGCGGCGCTGCCAGATCTCCGCCCGACGTGACCCCTACCAGCGAGGCTCCGGCGCCCGCGTCCGCCTAGCCCCAGCTCGTGGGCTCCGGTAAGGCCGCAGGGTCGCCCGCGCCCGCCCAGGAGGAAGAAGATGGGGAGGCCGTCCGCTCCAGCAAGGCTGCGGCAGTGCATCTCACCGGCGGTGCATCTCGCCACGGGGCTGTTCCAGGTGGAGGTCGCACTCGCCAGCGAGGTAAGGTACCAGGCCCACGTCACCAAGTGCAAGCTGGCCGCGACGTGCCCGCTCAAGCTGCAGCTCGCGCCGTACAGGGCGTCGTCGTCGAATCTCGTCCTCAACCAGGACGGTGTCATCGCCATCCAATGAGGGGCAAATCAGTCATTTTTTTTGAAGGACAAAACTTTTGCCATGATCTAAACAGCCCACTCAGGGCTAAAGTTTAGCAGTAAAAGTTTTGAGGCTAATGTTTTACCATGTCAAATGCATCTAAACAGGGTATATATACTGGCGCACGAACAAAGCTGGTCCTAGATTCGACTCTCTTATATAGGTAGGCCACCTGCTACTTTCATTTCACCGCTCAAGGATGACTCCATCTGCTTCTATCTATCTACAGCATGTTCGTTTGATCGTTTATGTAGCTTATAAGTCAGCTAACGCTGTTTTATTATGAAAGAAAAACATTATATCATACCTGATAAGCATGGTTGATACAATCAAGCAAACATGTGCTAGTAATACTACGTATTAAGCACCAACATGAAGTAAAAAATCGAGGAAGTTCGCACCCGGGTTCCACGTGGGTGTGAAATTAATGTCTAGATAGCGCAAGTCATTGGTGGCGAGTAGGCTTTCGTTTTAGAGAAGAAAGCAACTTGAGCTGATGAGACAAAACACAGTCATCTAAAATACTAATCAGCTATTAATTTTTAATTCCGTAATTAAATGCACACCTACAATGTGATGATCATGTTTGGGGGAGTTACCATTAGACGCTAGGATCGATAAAGCTAGCTGACAAGCTAAATCAGAGTTATCTGTATACCAATATAGCTTCATTGGTTATGATTAATGTGACGGAACTTGTCCACATATAGGATCAGAGTTCTATGCTAGCGCTCATCATGAGTGTTCTTATATGTTTTCTTCCTTTATCCCAATAGTGAGAAGAAAATTATGCTACTCCGACATGATTCGCACGTTGTTCTACGATTCGGGCATGCATGTCTATTTCTCCACGGAAGAATGAACGAAACTCATTCGTGCATGCATGTCTATTTCTCCACGGAAGAATGAAACTCGTGGAGGAAGAAAGGACAGGAGATTCAAATTCCGAAAGCAACGACCGTTTACAGAAACAGAAATTCATGCAAAGCAGTCAAAGCAGATAGTACTAGTATTAGTACAAAATACGTATAGCTAAGCTGCCTCTTAAAGTTGGACTATTTTTTTGATATTAAAAAAATACAATCACGAGGACCACGAGACTTGACGCAAAAGAGAGCTCTCAGCAGCACACAACTATTTTTTGAAAGAAGGGTTGCGCGATGTCAAAGAATGCCCTACACATTCAATAAAATACAAAAATACGGCCATTGGTTATCATTATTGACAATGACTGTTGCATGAACTCATCTATCTACTAACTAGAGTATCTTAAAAGCAACTCTAGGAGCTTAATTTGTGAACGAACTCCCTATTCGATTTTTTGGCAAAAAAGAAGAAAAAAACTTCAATGATTTGGTAATTAAGACAACTCTTCCCCTCAAAAAAAAAATAAGACAACTCTTTAAAAATAAAAAGTTGTTAAAACTCCCCCTCCAACTCGTATTTTTACCCGTGGAATAGGAAATAGTTATGGTAGATGCTAGCGTCCAGACATCCCGCCCCAAGAGGTGATCGGACGCCATTCCCATCTAGCCCTGTAAAGTTATCTTTGTTCCAACCTCTAACTCCCACCCAGCCTATAAAGTCATCTAGTTCCACCCGTAACAGAGGGGATAGCCCGCGCCCGCGCCCTACTGCCATCCCCCTCCGCTTCCTGCACTCGCCGCCGCGCCACGTTCCATCCCTCCACCTCCCACGCGCATGCACAATGGCATGTGGGTCCCATTGCAACATGTGCAACACCAGATCTATTTTTGCAACATCCAGATAAAACACTTGCAACATATGTCCGAAACAACTAAAACACTTGCAACATATGTCTGAAACACTAGAAAAACATGTGTAGCCATTGCAAAATATATGCAACATCCAAATAAAACACTTGAAACATACATTTTTGAAGCAACTAAAAACATTTAAAAACATACGCTTGCAACCATGCATATATATACAACATCCAGATCTACTTTTGTAACATCCAGATGAAACACTTGTAACATATGTCCGAAACAACTGAAACACTTGCAACATACGTCTGAAACACCATAAAAACACGTGTGTAGCCATTGCAAAATATATGCAACATCCAAATAAAACACTTGAAACATACGTTTTTGAAGCAACTGAAAACATTTAAAAACATACGCTTGCAATCATGCATATATATACAACATCCAGATCTACTTTTGTAACATCCAGATGAAACCCTCCTGCAGTTTTTTTTTTTTCGTGTGTGTGTTTCTGACACACGATTTCTCTCGTTGTTTTGGGCACCAGTCGCCGCTGTCGCCTAGTGACGACCTCCGTTGGTGCAACAAGTTAAGTACCTCTCTAGCAACTCTGGCTAGCGCCTAGCCTCATCTAGCAGCATTAGCCAGGTAGGTTCCACATCTAGTTTTAAGGTAAGGACAATTGCCGCAAGAAGTTATAAGTACCTCTCTCGCAACTCTAGTTCACTACGTGAAAAACGGTTTGTAGCAACAGGACAAATTTTTTGTAGGGGCGGCTGGTGATGGAGCCGCCCCTACAGTGGCGTGCTCGGGAGCCTAGAGACCAGCCGCCCCTACAAATGGAATAGTAGGGGCGGCTGGTGATACGAGCCACCCCTACAAATGGGTCTGATTTGTAGGGGCGGCTCAATCACCAACCGCCCCTGGTGTTGCGATTTGTAGGGGCGGCTCAATCACCAGCACCCTACAAATGCTGCCGCCGAAACCCAAACCTGGGCTTGGGCCTCGCTTTTGCTGGTAGGCCACTGAAACCCACAGGCCTGTTAAGCCTGTCAACGATCTAAGCCCTCGATCTGAATCGAACGGCCGAGGTTCGTCCAACCAGCGACAAAACTACCCGCCAGACATCCGAAACCCTAGGGATTCATTCTCACTTATCCATCCGACGCCGCACTCTCTCTCACTCACTCTCTATCTCTCTCACCTGACGGCTGCTACTACATCCGCACCGAGAGCCCCGACGTGGAGGCCACCTGCATGCTCCTCCTCGAGCTCTACGTGCGCGCCGGGTGCCCGCGCCTCCGGGGATAGGGGAGGGAGGGGCAAAGCTGCTGCTTCTGCAGCGATGGAGCCCGCAAAAGCCACGCCGATGGGCGCAGCCGCCCCTCCCACGTGTCGTCGCGTAGGTCGGCGATCATGCGCACCCGCAACCTCGCTCTCTTCATGGCTGCCTTTGGGGTGCTGGTCGAGTTCCCTGCGCAGGAGCTCTACGACCTTGTAGATGTTGTCGATGTCTCCGACGTCTCAAGGCCTCCAAGCTCTTTGTGGAAGATGCGGGTGAGAAAAATGAAATCTACTTCCCTCTTCTTCCCCTGAACCCTAATGATATTCAAGCGTTTCAGATTTTCCATGTTCCGATTCAGATTTTAGATCCTTTCAGTGCACCTGTCATCCAGTGATGGATCTAGGGTGGTGGTGTCCCCCGTCGGTGGATCGAGGGCGGGTGTGTTCCCCGACGGCAGATCCAGGGAGAGCCCATCCTCCAAGCGGCAGATCTTGGGTGGTAAGCCTATACCACTACTCCACTATCAACTTTGTGTTTGTCGATTGCCATAGCGCCATTCTGAGAGAGTCTGAGCAAAAGGTCACTCGTGTACTTTGGTTTAAATTTGCAACAATAACATATCGTTAGATCATTGTCTTCATTTCTCATTACTGGTGTTTGTTTTAGTTGCTGCTATCATATTCATTCTTTTGTGATGTCTCATTCTAGAAGCACCTTTATAAGTCAAAAAATATGTGCAGAATGGTAGTGAAGATAGTGTGTTGATTTTGTCTTTCTTGATCTTGTGATGCAACCTTGTTAGAATAGTAAGTTTTTGCTATTTTCTAAAAAGTAATGATTGTTATTGACCTTAGAAGATACATTGAAATAGGTAAGCTGGCTCGGACACTTACTTTCAAAAAAAGAAATATGTGCTAGCTATAGTGATTGAAACACTTACTGTTAGGCAACTTATTCTTGCTTTGGAAAGGAATTCTATATTGTTGTAGGCCATAAAGAACAAGTAACTAGTAACTTAATCTTGACACTACTGATACAGACCTTATGCTACTGCTTGACACTGTCCTTGAACCAATGTTCTTGAACACTATTTGGTGCCTGTGTAGCATTAGTTTCTGTTCTGAGAAAACAATGTTCTTCCATGATAGATATT